ACCTCGTACAGGATTGCAGTTGACTTTGCGTTGATTAGCATCTGATGACAGTTTAGCATCTCATTCATATGCATTTCGTATTGCACCTAATACAGCATCCAAAATCGTAAGGGAAACTTGTGCTGCATTGTGGGAGATCTTGAAGGATAAAGTTTTTCTGCAACCCACCGCTAAAAATTGGCAAAAAGTTGCTGATAAATTTGAGGAAATCTGTCAATTTCCAAACTGCATTGGATCTATAGATGGGAAGCATATTATTATTCAGGTACATATCTGATACTATCATTTTTCATACATTTTTAATAAATCTGACATTTTTGTATTCTTTTTAATTGTAGGCACCACCGAATAGTGGCTCGTTCTGCTATAATTACAAATGACGTGTTGAAAAATATATGGTAAAAGCTAGGTAAAAAAAAGATGTAGTGAAACTAAAAGTCTGTTCTTTGTAGTTGTACTGTAGACACATATTTGTAGACACATATTTTTCTCACTTTAACCAATTGTACCAGTTCAGCAGTGCAGCTACAAAGAACAGGCTTTGTATTATGAAAAAACTTCACATGCATACTTTCAAATAATGTTTAATAATATAAAAGAAAGTATTACTATCATGTAATTTATCAATGTTTCTATATAATTGTTTTCAATATAAATGTCAATTTCAAGTTTCTTTTGGTAAACGAACAAAACTACCACATAACCTATAAATACACGAACACAATTCTATGATATATTCAGAATAATAATAATTAATAAATAGTCCCAAATAGCAAGGATACGTATTAATAACATTTTTATGACGTCTCTGGACGTGAACATAAATATTAAAACATTTATATGTGTTATACATTATTAAAATGTTTTTGTACGTCATCCTGCTACCTGAGAATAATAAACAATGCATTTTAAAATTATTATTACCGGCCCTTCTCCACGATTGGTACTCATTTCGGCTTGTTGTGATGTGAAAAATTTCTTGAACGTGCACTATGTAAATAGAAAAAACTCGTAATAAAGCCGGGTGTATATCAGTTGGACACGGGGCAATTGGACACAGTCCAATCACAAGTCGCTGTTCCAAGGGACCCTACAAATGTCTCTAATCACACGGTGCTGTGATTGGCTGTGTCC